ACCTACTTCACACACATACTTCTGTCCCAAGGGCCCTATCTTGTCCATCACACATGCCCCTTGCTGTCTCAGTCATAAATGGTAAATCCTGTGCCACTTTTCCCAACACACACACACACACACACCACCATTTCTAGTTCCTTCTCCGAGGAGGTGAAATTATTTGGCTCACGGTTTTGCTGAGTCACACTGAGCAGGTCAGAGAGCAAGAGGAGGAAAGAGTTTGGTTGTTGCCTGTTTGTGAGAGGCATTAAGAGGCTGAGCGAGTAACTATTTATATACCCTGGGGCCACTCCACCTTTGTCCCGAAGCCACACAGACCCTGGGCTGGGAATAAGGAGAAACGAGAGGTTTAAGCCCAGAGTCCTGAAGCAGGCCAATAGCCCTTTCAGCTATCTCTCCTGTGCCCCTCTCCTCAGATATGCCAGCCTCTACTTCTGCTGCGCCATCGAGGGCCAAGACAATGAGCTCATCACCCTGGAACTGATCCACCGATATGTGGAGCTCCTGGACAAATACTTTGGCAGCGTAAGTCACCCTCCCTGTTTCCATACTCAGCAGTCCCCTCTTCCCTCCGAACTCTGGGGTCCTTGGAATCTGCCTGGGATGCTTGGGAGAGGAGAAGTGGGAGCAGTGAGAATGGTAAATAATCGCCCTCTTTAGCCATGCCCCTTAATCAGTCTGGGGGAGGGGGTAGAGACCAGAATCTGCCTCTTCATCAATCCATCTAGAGCTCAGCTCAGACTTCTCACAAAAGGACAAAAGTCATATTCTGATTTTATCAGCAGTTCCTGATATTGACGATTCCCTCCCTGCCCCACAGAACTCAGGGAAGGAGGCTAGCCCAGTGCTGGGAACAATGTCACAGACTCTGGGGTCAAGGCAACAAAAGCCACGGTCAAGAGCAACTAATATTTTATGATCAGGGAGAAAGAGGCAAGAGAAGGAGAAGGAAAACCTGATCCAAGTACTTACTAAGGCCTAGGGGTCAGGAGGACGTAGACCTGGGGCGGGAACCTAAGTTTGGAGGGTAGTCATGAAGAAGATGAGGAGACATATTGAGAACCAAGGTGGGGCGTGTGGGGTGGGAATGCACTTCATTACTCTACTCTGCCTTTTCCCCCTCTCCTCAGGTGTGCGAGCTAGACATCATCTTTAATTTTGAGAAGGCTTACTTCATCTTGGATGAGTTCTTGATGGGGGGTGATGTCCAGGACACCTCCAAGAAGAGTGTGCTAAAGGCTATTGAGCAGGCTGACCTGCTGCAGGAGGTATGGGCCTGGGACAGTGAGGAGGAGGAAGAGTATCACGGTAGAAGTTGCCCTCCCTCCCCTGGACACCCCGCCTGCCTGCCACATCTGCCCCCTTCCCACTACCACCAAAGGGCCCCCCTCCCTGTGGTGTCTGGCCCCCGCACCTGTTTGGCCAGCTTGCCCTCAAGCCCTGGTTGCTTGTGGTGGGAGGTGGGGGTGGCAGACACACCTGTGCCAATTCTCTCCTTCCGGAAAGACCCAGGGTGTCTTACCGCAGGCAAATCTCCTTTGTCCCTTGCTTCTCTTGGTATATAAGGGTTGCTCAGAGACTTGGAGAAGGAGCAAATGGTAGATAATGCTTTTCTTCCCTGGTGTTTCCCCCCCACCCATCTTTTTTTACACACACATACTCAAAATGAGCCTCTGATTTTCAGAAGCAAAAAACTGTTGGTGTACAGGTCACCTAGCTGTTGTCTCACCCTGCTCTCTGGTGTCCCTGCCCTCACCCCATTACTGCTTGCCCCCTCTCTGCTGTGCCACTGCTGAGACTTGGTGCAGGAAGATGAGTCACCAGAATCTGCAGTGACAAACAAGCTGGCATGAGCTGGCTCTGAGGAAGGGGTGCGATAGGGGGCTCCTCTCTGCAATAGGAGAAAGAGCAGAATTGAACCTGCCACCTTACTGGTACAGGTTCCCTTTCACACACACACGCACACACACACACACACACTAGCACACACATCCCCTGGCACATACACCCCTGTTACTAGTACTCTGCTCAGACCCCAATGACTCATCTCTCTGCGGTCTAGTTCACCTTACCTCAGAGACCTGATGCCAACCTCTTACTCCCCCACAACCCTGAAAAGAAGGACCTAACCATTTGCCACCCCCACAGCCCTCAGAAAAGTTTACCATCCTCGAGTCACAGCTTCATTCCCTTTCACCTCAGATACAAAGCTGGGCCCCCTGCTCACCAACCTGGTCCTTGGTTCTCTGGCGGGGAGGGGTGGACTCAACCTGGACCCCCTCCTTGCCACAGTTGGCTCTGGGAGGTAGTCCTAGGGGACTGGGAAACTCCCCTAAAGGGTCCCCAGCTGTTCTGCCTTGAGCTCACATTGGCTTCTCTCTCTCTCCCCCTTCCCCGTTTCTCTATGTGCTTCCTCCACTCTGCCTCCGTCCTTGTGATGCTGTTGTCTTGCCCACCCACCTCCCCCTTTCCCTGTCGGCCTCTCCTGCTGTCTCTGCGTCACCCTCTGTTTGTCTCTGCCTCAGGAGGATGAGTCGCCACGCAGTGTGTTGGAGGAGATGGGTCTGGCATAGCCCCCACCCAGGCCGCATGGAGATGTGGGGAGCTGGTGAAGAGGCAGGGCACAAGTGGCCCTTTTCTTGGTGGGACTCAGCTGTCCCTCCTCTGCTGTCTCACCTTCTTTTGGAGTGAGCTGTAGGCTCAGGACCCTCAAACAGTCCCTTCCCCCACCCCCTACCTCCTGTTTCCCCTTTTCCTACTGAAGGTTTTTGGAGCTGGGAGGCAGGAAAATATGACCAAGACCCAAAATGGGGGTGCTATTTGGCTTTCATTCCCTGCCTTTGAAGAACTATTACTCCAAATTTCCTTTCCTCCCTTATAATTGTAAATATATAAATATGTCAGGTTAAAGGGAAAAGGTTTTCAGGGCTCTTCTCGTCTCCCTGCCCCATATCCTACCTCCACCCCTCCCACCCCCTGCAGCCAGCCAGGGCAGCTTCTCTACCTGGGAAGGGGGCATCTGTGTAGTGACTAGGTCATCCTTTCCCCTCATCTGCACCCTCCCTTCCTTCTTGGCTGCAGTAGGGCCTCTGTCCAGTGCTGGGGGAGGAACAGCATAGTTAATTTTTTTCTAAGCTTGCCACTTGGAGGGAGGGAGGGTGGGGGAAGGGCAGGCTTCATAGGAGAAGCCTATCTCTCCTTCACTCCATATTCCGGGTGAGGCAGAAACTAAGAGGGTGGTGGGGTGGGCAAGTGTTTGACTCTATTTCCTTTCCTCTGAAATAAAAGGAAAAGCATTTCTGGACTTCGCCTGCCTGAGGCTCTATGAAAGAAGATAGGGCTGCTGGGATCAGTTAGGAGGGGAAGGGAACACTGCATTTGACTCTTCCCCAGAAAGGGGTTGCCAGATTAGAGCCAGAAATAAAAAATAAAATAAAACACACAGTTCAATTTGTATGATAACGAATAATTTTTGTTGTTAATCCCCACCAGAGAATATCTTCCCATTGATTTTTAGAGAGAATGAGAGAGAGGGAGGGGGGAGAATCATTGATGTGTCTCACATTGATTGGTTGCCTCCCCAACTCGGGATTGAACCTGAGACCTTTTGGTGCACAACTGATGGTCCAACCACGGAGTAACACTGGCCAGGACAATGAGTAATTTTTAAGGTTAAGTGTATCCTATGCAAATGTATCCATTGCTTATCTGAAATGCAAATTTAACTGAGGGTCCTGTATTTTATCTGACACCCCCTACCAAAAGTATATTTGCTAGCTCAGTGCCTCTGCAACCAGCTAGCTCCCTGAGCTGTCTTCAGCCAGGGAGGAGAAACTTCCTGGGACCTGGTTTCACTCCTCTAAGATTTCTTTGTGGGAGACTTCATTTGCCTGGTTTCATTTTATTTAGGAAGGAGACTCCCTAGTTCAAGGGTATATTCCACCTCCAATGCTTAGAAAAGGGTGGAGAAGTGGCTAAAACCAGAATGTTTCTGTGGCTGCCAACCGTCCCCTGTCCCCATATTTATTGTGAAGTATGTAGGGCCAGGGAATTTAGGGAGCAGTTACGGGAGGTGTGTCTGATTTGGAACAGCGTCTGTGGGGAGCCACCAGTACTGCCTGTGTGGCCCCTCAGAGTCACAAGAAGAGCCCAGAGCTGTGGCTCCTTATCTACTTTGCATCTCTCTGCCAGGCCCTGGGAACCCCTGACTTTAACCACCATTTAGGGTTCCCAAATGGATGTGAGCCAATTCTACCCCCAAATAGTTTTAAACGGGTTGGTGCCATTCAACGCCCCCTTTTAAGCTGGAAGAGATGGGTGTTGTGGCTGGCGTTTCCCTCACCGCCCCTTGGGAAGGACCGCACAGGCCCAAGGGGACGGGTGAATAACCGAGAACAAAGTCCTAATAAAATAGTCACTTTTATTTCTTAGCAAAACTATTTCCTCCGTGAGGGGTATTTACAAGAGAGAAGGGAAAGAAGGTAAATTCACAGCGATTTGGAGAGGCTTGTGGGAGGCCCCAAGGGCAGGAGACAGACACAAATGGAACTGGGCAACTAGGTGGGAGCAGCGGGAGGGAGCTCGCACAAACCATCCGCTCGCCTGCGCTGGCCCTGGGACAGCCATGAGCGAGTTTGGGGAATTCGGGCTTTGGACCCAGGAAGAGGTGTGACAGGTCCTCCGCGCTGCCCAGGGGCGAGGGGGGGCCGAG